AACTGCTTGTGCTGAATAAGTAAGAATAAGAATCTTAATATGTTACTTTATATATTTACAACTTATAATTACAGCTATAACTAAAATTACAAATAATTTCACAATTATTTTGTGCATGATTGTAATAAATAACACGTATCATTTTAACATTCACATGACGATTAAATTGCATTGGTATTAAAAAGTTGTCAGTGCATACACGATTAGACATCACTAGATTACTACATTTCATGATAGCGCTGTTATACGAAAAAGGACTACATATACCTATGTTCGATTGAACAAGAAATTTAAAATATTAAAAAACTTTTTTTTAGTTTTTGATGTATCCAGAAACTGATGATGATGATCACGACGGTGAATGAGGAACAGCAACAGCAGAGGATGACCGTTCCAAGCCCAATTGTTGGAGAATCAGCAAATGCATAATCTGATTTTGCCTCTATGAAATCTTCAGCTGCGCTCCAATATGGAAAAGCGATACAGAGAGATTCTTTTGCACAAGGCCCAATGTGTTTTGAACCCGTCTTCTTGACTGCTCCACCTCATGCAATTTAGCAATGTAAATCCTGCTTGCAATTAACGTGAGTGCTTTTTCTTCGCTTCAGACAAGGCATAGTTCCATCTACATGGCGAAGAAGATGAAGATGATGAGGGTGTGATTAGGGCTGTCTGGGACGAATTGTCTACAGAAGGAACTGCAGTGTGGGTTGTGGTGCTTGACGCTATCACGGCGAAAATCTGCACGTAAAAATCCACAGAACAGCAGTAGATACGCCTTTAAGGACTCGAATGGTAGTTTTTTTAACTCTGGCCGAGTCTGTCAAAGAGATGCGATGTTTGACTTGACTCAAAAGTAAACAGTACTACTATTGTTGACTTCATCGTAGCTCTGCTGTCCTTTTAATAATTTTTAATAATTTAACTCGTCTCCCTGGTCGAGTGTAAGTACCCGATTGCTTTCAACTTCCTCGGCCAATGTATCCAGAGCCTCGAGCTGCATTATTATGAATTTCAGAGTTCCGGCAGGTAAAATAATATGAATTGTCCCCTTATTGAAAATGTCAAGGTTCCCACTATTGGTTCAACCTGTTAACAGTTAATTTTGCATATCTAAAAACCCTAAGAATTAGCAAATTGGATAAGCTTTCTAAAACCGAAAACAGAATTTGATTATCTCTTTTCGTTAGAAAATGACAGGACGAAATGTTGAGGAGGTGGAAAAATTAGTTTGCCACTCGTGCGAAAAAGTGTTTTTCTTGAATCAGAAAAGGGCTCATCACCACTTCAAGCGATGTCCCGGATAAAATTCATCATACACTACACATATCTAGGGATCGTGAAAATGTAAAAAATAAAATTTGGCCTTGTTGACCTGTCCGCCAGCAGACCAAAACACTGACGAGAAACATGAAAAAACTTTTGCAGAAAACCCGAACAGATCGGTAAGGGTTGCACCCAGGCAACTAAAAATTTCAAAAACCTATCTTCGCCGATCAAAGCCAATAAGATGGGCTTCAAAACTTACAACACTTAAACCTCGCCAAAATGCAATAAAGACGAAAAGGCCGGAGCTAAAACAAATTGTCGAAAACTTGTTGAGAAAATGTTGAAATCGAATCCTAGAAGTTTGTCGTCGTGAATGATGAAAACAACTGCCCCGTTGACCTCGAAGCATCAATGGTGTAAAGTTCTACTCAAGTAGAAGTAAAAATGACATTTGTTCGAAATATAAATTCAAATACAAGCAAAATTTCCGATGAAATACATAAAATGGATTGCAGTCGACAACAATTGGAGCGTCTCAACTCCATTTGCTACCACCAAGAATATAAACTTTAGGCTTCATTTGATAGAGTGAGTCATAAAAAGATTTATCTACCCCATCAAAAAAAAACATGCTTCATTTTGACCTCGCATGGATGCGTGCTAGAATGCCAAAATTGTGACAAGGTATCTTCGAGGGGAAAAAGTTGTTTTTTCGAAAAGAAGGACAACGCTCCAAACGTACCTCAATGTTTGCCCATTGAAAGATTTTTGCCATAAATTAAGAAACAATACTCTTAGAAAAAAAGAACATAAACAAAATCGGAAGAATTTCTGCGGGTTATAGAGAAAACCATCATAGAAGTTGGAACCAGTGGCAAAGCGCTTCTGCTGTAAAAATCGGAGAAAATCCACTTGCGCTGATCCAAGATCTACAGGTTGCGATTGAGAATGGTTGGTGGCTGGCAAGCACACTTTGTTCGAATGTATTGATCCTTCTTCGTCGCTTGACAGGTCAATGTATTCAACCACTCTGGGCGTTTTTTAGGCTTCTTTCTCCCGAGCCTCGTGACATCCACCCATCCTGGTTGCTGCTCCATGATGATCGCAGAATGAAGCAGGCTTTCTTATCAGAAATCGCCCTAGGAAGAGAGTGATTTCCCCACTGGAGGTTTTTCCCAACAAGCTAGTGGAGTACATCGACATGCGTAAGACATCGCTAGAATCGCTTAAAGGTCCCCGATTCTCACCAGACGTGCAAAATAAGTCCCACGTTGTGCTATTACAGAAGCATCTCTTGCAAGAAGTGATGAAATTAGTATATATCCACAAAGCCATAATTTTCAAACAGGAAGCTTGGCTCCGTTCTTATATTATCAAGGCTGTAAATTAAAGGAGAGAATGTAGGATTATGCATGATTCAATTGGAGATGAAGTGGACACGAAATCGTTAGTTTCTTTATTGGGTTATTTCATCCAAAATACAAGAAAGCAGACTTCGTCACAACTATGTAGAACACGAGAGGAACGTATTAAAGCAGCTGCAAGATCAGAATTTGATGATTTAAAGGTTATACATTCATGTAAAAGTATTTTCTCCTTCAAGAAAAATACTTCTCACTATCCGTACAACATTATCGCTGCATTTGCAACACTCAATTGTTGTGTAACATAAAATCTATGATACTCAATACGAATCGCACATTCCTGTGTTTTAACGCAGCGAGAGTATGCGCATCCCTGGAGATATCTCCAGTTAAACCTTCCATGGGCTGGCTCGTACGAAATTTGAAATATGAAATTACGATTAAAAGGCGTAAGTTTGTTAAGCAAATAGGATAATATGCAGCATTTAGAAAATAAGGTAGGATGCAATGATGTTACTCGATTAAGGAGAGCTGTTACGTTAGTTCAATTGCGAGGAATAATGAGAGCAGGGAGAAGTGAAAGCGAAATGAATTTGGAAAAATATGGCAGATTTTGCCGATTTCAGCTAAATATGGAAGGTTTACTTTTTAAAGAAAAAGATTATTACCAAAAAATTAAATATACAGTACAGAGACTGATAAAAACCAATAAATGTGCAAAAATAAAAATGCAAACAATTGCAAAAATCAATTCAAAACTTCAACACCAAGTCCAAGAATTGGCTCACACTCGAATACTCCAATGATGATCTTTCATTAAATTTTAGTTTTAAGCTAAAAACTGTCGTCAAAAAAAGTTGATGCGGAAGGAATTTGTCGGTGATGGTAATGGTGTGGGGCCTCAGGACTATTTGTGGGTGTGCCGTGCCTTCTAAATGCGCGACATAGCATACGCACGTCCCACCAAACCAACCGACAATGCTCAAATATATTTATAGGATAAGGTTGACGTCGCGCATCTGTGCATCTATGAATAATAATGTATTATATGTATATATAGCTTCCCATTCCCAACGCGTCTCCATTGATACGATTTTTTAAAATAAAAATCCACACTCGTCGCCAAACCATATATGTTGGATATGACTGGAGTACACATATTGCAATAACGCCTAGTAACATGGGTTATAATTTTAAAAAAATATGATGATGATTAGTGTAATTAAATAAATATACCATGAATATTCCAAAATAGATCAACTGGGGAACTGGTTGGGGAAACCTCAGGTTTTTGACACATTCTCCAATTTCCAAAGCCGATGACCGTATATTTGTCGTCATTGGGAGGAGGGTCACACGATGATGATTTTGTGTCGTAGTTGAGGATGTAAAAATATAATGCTACGTACTACGCACCCAACGCAATTGTTTAAAAATATGGAACAATCCGTGCCTGTAAACGAGAGAGAGATGATGTGAACGCGAGATGATTAATGCCGGTATTTTTTGGTTCCAGAATAAAAAATGAAAGTAACAAACAACCTTTATTTGTTTGGGGTAGTACAATAATCATTTTATTCAATCTTGTTAACTAAAGGTATTCATGAAATGAATAACGATTTAATGATATTCTAGAACAACATTTTCTATAGATTGCAGATTTAGATTGCAGTGGGTTGGGTGGTAGCTATTATTATCAGAAACTTTTTATGTATATAAAGATTTTACTCACCAAAATGCAACTGTAACGCACCAAAATTGTTAACTCGTTGGCAGACTCCCTTACTCAACTGCGAATAATACTTTGTCCACCACCACGATCCGATAATCCCATCAACCGCATCCAACGTCGATGAAATGTTAAAAATTTAAACGCATTAGAAATATGAAAACAATTCTCCTAAAATAAAGTTTTGAATTTTAAACCTGAATTTTTTCCATTTTTTTCAAATTTAAAAAGTGTACCTAATGTAATTTAGGTTATTTTTTGATGCCGTGGTGCGTGTGCTCCTGCTTGGCCAAGATTATGGACGAGCATCACGCACCACGGCACATGCATAGGTGTTACGGATTTGATGGGTAGTCGAATCTACCGAGTCCTAAATACTCCCTGCTTAATTTACCCGAGAAATCTTATAAAAGTTATTTAGTGACTACAACCTTGGTATTTTGTTTGACCTTTAAAAAACATTGAACATTGAATATGAATTTGTAAATCAACAATGCTAAACATTTAAACAATACACAATGTTTGTAGAAAATGCTTTAAACGAATAATGGTTCATTGTTACACAAGAGAAACTTCACCACGTACTCGTTGAGATAACCTTTCCTCCGCATTTACATATTCTACCAGCATATGGAACCATGTCCCACTTTCCAGTCCTCCTCCTTTTGTCCTTGAGTTTCGCACCGGATGTTTCTGCAGGAGGTCCCCCACCCATGTCGCAGATGGAGTACGTCCAGAAGTACAAAAACGTGTCCATCACGGTCGTCTATTTGCCACCGAATTGTACACGCAAGTCAAAAGATGGGGACCAACTGACGACAAACTATGTCGGATATTTTCCCGACGGGAAGAAATTTGATTCCACGTAAGGTTTTGCGAAAGGGGACGTTCATACACTATGCAAAGGAAAAATGGGAGTTTTTAGACCCCTTCCCACTTTTACATGGGTCCTATGGACGCAATATCCTACGGGACTTGGATTCCCAATCTCTACTTACATTATTTATGAACATTCCTAAATATTACATTCCTTGGGAAATACTTCTTGCATTACAATTGATACGACCTACATACATACATATTTTTTATCCATGGCGTCATTACATAAATACGGTTTTATGGACTTCTGAAAATGTGTGGAGAAACAATTAATTAATGTGTTAATTCGTTATTCTAGTTGGGATCGAGGTGAACCCATGACCTACGTGATGGGAGAAGGCACGGTGATCAAGGGCGCTGAAATTGGCGCCATTGGAATGTGCGTAGGTGAGGATTTAGTGTAATCTGTATGAACTAATTAGCTTACCCAATCATTTTCTAAAATGTGCAAGGTCATGTCTTTGAAACTCTAAAAAGTCCCGAGTAAAAGTCACTGTATCGAATTCTGCAGTATTCGACAAAAGCCCGAAGCACATTGAATAGATATTGTGCAGAAGTTTTTTTATCAATCCTGCAGAAAATAATTTTTTAGGTTTTATTCCTACCAGGGTTGCAGAAATTTCATCTCACCCTCGTAAATCTCATCTCACTGAGGTATAATGAGAAATAGTGAGACATGAGAAATATGAGATTTAGTGAGATTTATGAGCCATGCACTAGCGCCACCTAGCGGACAGGGTCATTAACTACATGTTGATCTCATTATTAGCTCACCCTGCGTAGCATGAGAGCTATTGAATTCCTCTTGTCCGTCCGTCTGTCCGTCTGTCTGTTGACGAGTTTTTTGCATCAATTGATGCTAATTAATAAGTCCCTGCTCCATTATTACAGGACTGAGGAGCACCACTGGTATTAAACAATCCTTGACGCAATGGTGCAAGTTAATTCAGCAAATAGATCGAGATAGGACTATAATTTTGGAATAAGTAACAACGTTTGTGAAGAGCAATTAGTTATTAAAAATGATGCGTAACAATTGAGCCATATATTTCCCCCCAAAAATCAATGATGCGTAACAATTGGGCCATCTATTTCCCCCCAAAAATCATATCAGAATTCTGTTCTATTTGTCCCATTATTCTGCACCATTTACGCTAAAATATACTAATTTAAAAATGAATAATTGGAGAAGGGATTCCCTACGCACCAATGATGCAGAATGTCGGGAGAAAGAACCATACAATTTTTTTAAAGTTTTCAAAATTAGGGACTCCGCTGGTCACTAATGTTGCCATAGTGGTGCAAACTAATTCCGGATTTTTAAAATATATTTTTCCGTTTATATTGCACTATTGGCGCCAGAATCTATGAGAGTTATAATCTATTTTGTCGGCTTATTCCGTACCTTTGGTGGAAAGTTATATGACAGGGTGAGCTATTTCTAACGTTACTACGGTTTATTAGCTCACCCTGCGTAGCATGAGAGCTATTGAATTCCTCTTGTCCGTCTGTCTGTCTGTCTGTGTGTTAACGACCTGTTTGCATCAATTGATGCTAATTAAATAGGACCATGTCCATTTTTTGGGCAATTAGAAGCACCATTATTGTGAAACAAACAGTACCGCAAAATGGTGCGAAATAATTGGGGGAATCGATGTATTCCGCACCAATGGTTAAGATTATCTGAAAGTTCTTGTTAGTCGTGGCGGACATATCTTAACCTCGAAATCATGTCAAAATTGTATCTCAATTTTACGCATTTCGGCCGCACCAATGGTGCAAAATTTTATCAAATTTTTGTTATTCTCCGCTTATTCTGTACCATTGGTGCAAAATTATATGAAAATTATGAATCTTTTTTGTCGGCTAATTCTGCACCTTTGGCGCAAAGTTACATATACAACTCATTATAATAAGGTGAGCTACTTCTAACGTTACAACGGTTTATTTCTCATATTTCTCACTCCACATTTCTCACCCCAAGTGAGATAAATCATATAAATCATTAAATCTCACTGTATCTCACTCAGTGATATATAATATATATCACTTGTAACCCTGACTCCTACTAATTTTGCACAAATCGCTATGTATAAGGTTTTTCTGCAGAAAAGTTGTTCAAACTTTTACTCAGGATTTTTAGACAGAAGATAGTTTTTGAATTTGCAAGGCCATTAATTAAGAAATGAGAACATTGTGGGGGACGTCATAAGCCCATAAAAAACTAAAGTTCTCATCAAACAATTTTTTTTTACTTACCAGGTGAACGACGTCACACCGTAATGCCCCCAGCATTAGCGTATGGGGACAAGGACTATGCACAAATTCCTGGCGGTAAGTGCCGTAAACATGGACTAACTTGGGGGCATGGTCTAGTAAAAAAACACTCTGGCGCCTACATATACACTTTGTATTCTACAAAGTCTAGTAACCGTCTGTCTATCCGTCAATTGTGATATAATGTTCTGACATTACCCCCAAAAATTACAAAATTAGACACGTATCTATTAAGTAATTACGCTTTCGCGATGGTTTGTCATTCCCATAGTCAGTCCCAAACTTTTGCAACCAAAAAATCCTTTTTTTGCTCTTTGTAAATACAAGGTTTTGCGATCATAGGTTCAAACTCAAAATTGGCGGTTATCATTAATGTTTTGGTATGTTATAAATCTTTATGCATGTTGGATTGCTTCGCCCAATAAACAGGATCCACTCTGGTGTTTGACGAAGTTTTGATGAAGTTGGAAGACGGTCCTTCTAAAGTTGACCCCATGGAAGCGATGGGTCTCGTCAAAAATGCGGATGGCTCGTACCCACTCTTCAAGTAAATTTGGGAGCAGAGTCGGAAAAAATATGAATCTGAATTTAATATGGAAATAATTCTAATCATGAATAAATTTGTCATATAAATAAATCAGTGAATTGATGAAGTTCTGATAGTGAAGTAGTGATGAAGATTTATTTAAGCAATGACTAAATCAGACTTTATAATGGCATGCTAAATAAATATTGGTATTATTCCGTTTTTTCTAGCGGGAACCAGGATGCCAAACCGATAAATATGTAAGTTCGTTGACGGAATATGTGAATTTACAAATATCGACGTTTCACATGTTTGGTTTGAAATTTCAGCAAATTTTGATTTTTACCTTGATTTTAATTTTTTTCATACATGCATACGTGCGTAAATATGTACATACCTATCGGTCTTGCAAATACAAAGCATTCTGTGCTACATGCCAATGACAACTTTAATTATTAGCTCGCCCTGCGTAGCATGAGAGCTATTGAATTCCTCTTGTCCGTCTGTTTGTCTGTCTGTCCGTCTGTCTGTTAATGAGTTTTTTGCATCAATTGATGCTAATTAAATAGGCCCGTGTCCGTTTTTTACGAAATTAGTAGCACCATTGCTGTCAAGCAATCAGTCCCGAAAAATGGTGCTAAATAATTGGGGGAATAGGTGCAACCCGCATCAGTGGGGCATATTATCCCGTAGTAATTTACATCCCATTTTGCAATCAGTGAATCTCGAAAAAGTGTCAATATTCTGTATCAATTTTCCTCATTTCTGCTGCACCAATAGTGCAATTGTTTCTAATATATCTGGTTCTTTCCATTAGTGAACCTCCAAAAAGTGTCAATATTCTGTATCAATTTTTCCCATTTCTGCTGCACCAATAGTGCAATTGTTTCTAATATATCTAGTTTATTCGCTTCTTCGGTACGATTGGTGATCGTCATACGTACATTTAACTTCAGTAAGATTATATCATCATCAAACATGCGTAATGAGTGTAGTGTATTATATATTTTATCAATGTGTTTTAATAAACAACAAAATTGACACCTTTCTCCTCCAATTGACACCTTCTGACGTTTCAAGTTGCTTCAGAAATTGCGAAAAGAAATAGCGAGGAGGATAAATTCTGATAAGTTTTGATAAATTCGGACCAAGACTCTTTCATCTATTTCAATGTTTGTTTGATCTGGTGAATAAACCGTAGTAACGTTAGAAGTAGCTCACCCTGGAATAATTAGTTGGATATCATCAAAGGTGCATAATAAGCGGATAAAATAGATGCATCATTTTTTATATAATTTTGCACCAATGGTACAGAATAAACGGGAAATATAAGAAATTTGATACAATATTGCACCAATGGTGCAGTCGAAATGGTTACAATTGGGACTACATTTTGACACTATTTCGAGGTTGAGTTAGGTCAGCCAAGGCTTACTAGAACTTTTAGTTAATCCTAATCATTGGTGCAGAATACATCGATTCCCCCAATTATTTCGCACCATTTTGCCTTAACGATTTTTTTATACCAATTGTGCTACAAATTAGGGATAAAATGGTCTCGGGACTTATTAATTAGCATCAATTGATGCAAAAAACTCGTGAACAGACAGACAGACAGACGGACGGACAGACGGACAAGAGGAATTCAATAGCTCTCATGCTACGCAGGGTGAGCTAATAACGTGATCATAGTTACAGTACATAAGTTTTAGAATGTTTCTCCATGATATTTTTTTTTTGCTCCCATGTATGTATATGCACATATTGACTAAGATTATCAAAGTTATGTACCTATTTATGTAACTTATTTTTTATTCTTATTGTTTAGTCTGTCATTTAAGTATGACAGGGCGAGCTACTTCTACCGCTACAACGGTTTATTAATGGTTACAGAACCTATCTATATATGTACACACCATTAACTTCCTAGTTGCTGGCAATTACGGTCGAAAAAATTTGACGTGCACAAACCTCCTGTACAAGTGGGGTTGCCCGCTCAACAAAATTATTCCGAAACTCTAACCTCAACGGCCTGAACGGTTTATACATTTTTCTGCCCAGCTTGGTCGGCTTGGCCCAAATGAATTTATATCGGTCTTGAATCCTGTTTTTACTCGCCACATAGATTTTCGCGGCTCCAGAAAGAGATGCCATATTTACCAGTGCAGCTCCCACAGAAATCGTGGCACACAACATTACCTGAACTAACGTCATTTCGCTGTGGATCGTTAACAGCCATGATGTTAACTATTGGGAGGTATACGGCAATAGTTGGGAGAAGCCAGGTTCGGCACGACGAATTCAACACTCGGTCAAATACTTGTGCACTTCTAAAATTTTTTATGGTAAGGTTGCCCATCTTGTGAGCCAAGAGAATAGTTCTGGGCAGAAGGAGACATGATATGCGTCCCAGTGAAGTAAAGCATGCATGAAATCCGAGGCCAAGTTCAGCAAGAAGGATTGGAATTTGTTGTTTCCAAGAGATCAGCCCGTCCCGGCATTGCTCCAGAGTAAATAGTAACGAGCTAAGGGAAGGAGATTTGCAGAGGAATGTGTACGAAATGACGACTAGAGCTAGGGGAACCGTGGTATAGGTACATTCGACAAGTAGCAGTGAGGCACGAGCGACACGTGCCCAACGATGGGTAATATGAATCCCTGTAGTAGTAAAAATATGTTAAAAACAGAAAATGTACACTTGTTTCTTAGAAATTGCAGTAATCAGAACAAGATTCGGACAAGAGAAACATTTCTGGAAGCCTGAGCTCCTGGCATAACCGTTATATACATTTTATCTATTTTTTACTGTTGGTCCAGGGATGTGACAAAATTAAAACGAAATTTGGTGACGCTATGACGCCCTTGGTGACGAGCGGATCGGTCACCTTCGCCCATGCTTTTAATTGCTGAGGTACTCTTTTCACTCATCTCGCTACAGAAATCTCAAATCTCAGCAGAGAAACAAGTTAAAAAAACTCATTGCAATCGATTAGCCGCTGTCCAGCAACCCCGCAGATTTCCTGTCGCTCCCGCCACGGCACCAAGTCCACCGCCCAGCGCGCCACCAAATTCCGCCCCCGCTCCTGTCGCATTTTTGGTAACCAAACCCGGCACCAAGACCTCCGCCCACCGAGTCGCATAATCCGGCCGGCACGAAGTTGGGATTCCCTTCCGCAATGGCACCCATAGAACCACCTGAATATATGCACAAATACGTATGAATACAGTCTTAAAATGGTGTTACAGTTGTAAAAAGTATTTAAATCCAGGCGGAATTCAATATTAAGTAAACTACATACACTAAATCCAGGGTAATGTTGACTTGATAAAGAGTAAAGTTTACGCCAGCTTTAGCATAGTTTATTTATGTAAGATTCAAAGTGCATTCATTCTCAAAAAGGTGACATTATTTTTAAGAGTGTGTTCTAATTGCATAACGACAAACGGATAGAAATCCGGTATTCAAATAACACCAAGCGGTATCTATGTACATATTCCTTTAACAAGGCGGAATCGATGCGTAAGTAACACGGTGTAGTAATAACTCAGCATTAAAGTCTTACAATACCAGTAGGAAATTTTTACGGGTCGGTATAATTTTAATACCGAACGGTAGTAAAGTTAATACCGAGCAATCAATAACTGCCAGATTTATTTATAACCGTGTGTTAAAAATATAAGTAACTACATACCAATATACCAATATATAGTGTTATATACGCGAGCGACAAAATGACACTTATGAGAACTCATGAATGAATAAATTTGCATAGTGGGGTATGTATTAAATAATTCCAAGAAGAAATGGACACTCATTAAGCACATTCATAACTTGATATCTTTGAGGTATGAATAGACCCATTTATTCATGCGAAGTGCATGCAGAGCTGCACAATGTCATCATTTTGTTTGTCTGTCCGTCCGTAGGCAAGATATCTCCGGAACGGTACAACATAATCAAACGCTGTTTTCGCCGTTGTGCTTCTACTTTTTGGTTCTCAGCTGAGCTCGACAATGCACGGTGGTCCGGAATATTGAATTTCTTGGCCAAAACCTATTCTCACCGATTCGAAAACAAACTACCCTGTGTAATACCTTTGACATAGATGTTCAATTGTGGAAAGTTTCATTTTAATTGTTCCAGTGGTTATGGCGTGGCACATGCCTAAACTTGCCTTATAACATTGGGCTAAATGGGAAAAACTTCAAGTTGAAAATCCTGTCTAGTCCTGTGGTATTTCGAGAAACCGTTAATGTGATATTAAACCCTTATATCATATCTACAAAATCTGCTGCCCCTTTTTGCCCCTTTTGCAAATTGACAGAGAAATTTGAGTTTATGCAAAAGCAAATTGAAAAAAAACAAAATATCTGAAGTGCTCCAATCATTGCCATGTATGAAATTTTTGAGTGTTCCATATAACACAATCGCTTCGAAATATCTTGCCCATTGCTAGGGGAAGGGAACATGGTAAAACAAATCCCTCCAAATAAATTATTACCACGGGGGGAATTTTATGACGAGGTGGCCCCCTGAGGAAGGACGACGAAATTTTTAATTTTGGACATGTTTTCTTTTTTAATGAGATCAAAGGGCAGAAATACTCAATACAATTATACAATATTGTCATTTGACAAATATACATCCTCAAATATATCGAAACAAAACTTTCAAATTTACATTTGACCACACCCATTGGTGGTGGGTGTGCCGGTAATGTCCCAATATTGTTAGTGAATTGCATAAAGCTTGATGAGACCTTTCATATGATACCCCACTTGATGGGGTAGCACGAGAAAATAATTATTTGCCCTTGACCACACCCCCAAAGGGGTGTGGCTATCAGTGAATCTTCCATAACTTATACCCTTTAAACTTCATATCTCGCTTTCCGAAGACAGTATTCGAAAAAATTAATTTGTTCGAAAGTTATAGGTTTTGGCAAGCAAATAAGCCAATCCGGACCAGTGTGCAATGGCGTCGATCGGACTGCCCCAAATAACGCGATGGGGGTGTGGTTCAACATTAAATTTTACCTTGATTTCCATATGAGGTGTCATTTTTTTGGAAATTTCGCCACGAGGTAGTCCTCCGTCGAGTTCAAGAATATTGACGCAAAAATCACTTGCACTTGGTAAATCATTTTATTTTATAACTTAGAAATTAATACTTAAAATTGATATTCACATTGCGTGACGAAAGTCCACAATAACAGTCCGATTAAGCCAGAGTCGTACCGATGGTTCATCAAGAGGCATGCTCCTAACCCTATGAACAAGAGGGTATGGAACAGGACTCCATTGTTCGCTACTCGAATATATAACAAATAACTTGCTTATCTCAGATAACCATTTGCCTAATTAAAGAAATATCTCAAAAGTTAGCAATGCTCACTTCTTCGTAATTAATAAAATAATATTTATTGGATGTTTGCTAGAGTATATATTCGTCTGAATCCACCACTCGAAGTTATACTCATGAAATATTTACATATGCACATATTGGTAAATAGTTTAGAATTCTGGCAATCGGGATAACTTAGCGCAATTGATAATGCAAAGTAATAAAATCGTGCATGTGCTTCAATGATAACATTAAATCAATAGATTATATAAATTAGACAGATTAAACCAACACCAAGAAAAATTTAAACAACGCAAAGCGATTCCTTTGTTTATGCCCATTTAAAAAAATGTTTTGGACATTGATTCAAATGTTTATAAGAGACTTTAGCACTGAAGATAAATCATACTAAAGGTACTATGGTTTTCGTCCAGGTCGGATTTCGATGAATGGGATGAAATGAGATTTCGATGAATTTCGATGAATCTCATCCACTTAAGTACTTGCCTGCTGCTCAGGATTAAATATCATATTAAGAGGGACATCCATTCGCTCTGTGGAATCGAAATCTTCCCCACGCATATTCCGTTTGACTCCATGAAATCGTATATACGCTCCTCTGAGTCCTTGCTTAACTATGAAAAAATACATAAAATGTCACATCAGGCATGGTTGAACATACTTATGCTCCACTGTACTCATAGAAATCAAGTATTGTTCATGGTTACTTATTACATAATAACTTTACCACAGTGGTATTCTCAAGTACATATTTAGTTATAGCTCGATATTAAAGTTTTGCCATGTCGGCACCAAATTTCTACATTTGCCGATATGATTTTAACACCAAGCAGTAGCAGTTTTACCACTGAGAATGCCATAATAGATTATACACGATTTCTACAAATATATACCCATCTTAAAACATTTATTAGTAAGACTTACGTTTAGATTCGAAAGTACAACCCGATTCATTTCACTCATCGCAATGAGAACTCGTTGAAACAAATCCATCTCATTGTTGGTCAAATCAATGGTCACGTAATTGAAACCGTACGTCATAATTTTCAATGTTTTAAGCCCTGAAATTTTTGTTTAAATGTAAAAAAAATTTCAACCATAATGTAAATAAACCTAGTTATGTACACTCTTAAAAATAATGTTCCTTTTCTAAAAAACACATGCACTCTGATTTCTAATTTAAGTAAATTATATTTACTAAATCCAGTGTAAACTTCTCTTTTTCAGGATAAAATTACTTTGGATTTAGTATTTATGATTTGCTTAATTTATAATTCAGAGTGGATTTAGTTTTCAATAAAATAACTTCAAAAAAGCTTCCTTAGGTGAGGCGCTGCTAAAAGTGAAAAACAAGATTTCTGGCCTTATCTTTTAAATATCTCGTTCCCTCATCATTGTAACAGGAGATGGTGGCTTTGCATCATCACGAGGCCAGACATTTTGACCACATAACATACCACGCCGTTTATTACACACAGAAACTATAACAAAAATTGCATTTGCCACTAAAAAATTAATTAAAGCATTGCTAACTAAAATATATATTGATGCATAAACAGATTATAAGCTTGAGTTTATAAAAACTATTTCAGAGGATGAATATGATCGAATTAGCTAATAATTTATTTCACAAGCTAACCAGTACTTCAGGCAGCGAACGTCCATAAATTGCGTAACGCAAGAGGGGGGGAGTCTAAGGCTCCAATGATATCTTGCCTATGTTACGCATGTAAAAGGGGATCTATCAAATTGCTATTTTTGCGTTACATAATATATGGATGGCCCGCAACAACATTTAATTGACTTGTACAATTTTCTGCATGTGTTATACAAACTACTTCAACCACATTTGCTGAATTTAAAAAATGTCCTGTTCGAAGATTTAAGGGTAGGATTTTCTACCCTTAAATCCTACCCTTATTAGGCGGTAGTACATTAAAGGCTAATTGTATTTAGTAGCACAACTAGTTCTCAATACGAACGAGAAAATAACAAATGATAATTTTGAGAAATTCGTGAACCTAGACTTTCTTCCAGCGAGTTGCGAATTATTGCGAATATATTTTTTATTAGAAGAAGCTTGGCGTAATGTCTGGCCTCGTGGTGATGCAAAGCCACCATCTCCTGTTACAATGATGAGAGAACGAGATATTTAAAAGATAAGGCCAGAAATCTTGTTTTTCACTTTTAGCAGCGCCTCACCTAAGGAAGCTTTTTTGAAGTTATTTTATTTCATGGATTTTAGGCGATTCATATTTTCAGACAATTAATTCCACTTGTCAAAATTGTTAATCTATTCTTCAAATATTGTGAGCACTTTGAACCAGGCAATAAAACGGACAGTAAATTTGACAAAGCAATCTAATTATTAAATTTAAAATTTTCAATAGAATTTACAATTATCCCTAGTCTGGATTAATAATCACCAATCCGATATTTCGTAACTCTGACCAGCAAGTGCGTGTCTAAATGTTTTATACCAGAAATTTCTTAAAGGCGACTACTATTATTTTTAGTAAATTGCAATATTGGCTGCTAATAGCAACCAGCTACATTGCAATTTTGATGAAGAATGCTAAACAACATGAATAGTTTCAGATGCTTCCATCAAAACTTTTTCAGTTTTGGACCGATCTCAGTCGGATTTGTTTTAAATGACGCACAACCGATTTCTGCATGATCAAATCAGGTTTTATGCATATATTCCTTTGACACAAGTGTCTCAAATTTTGATTCTAAAGTTTCAAATTGAAATTTGAGGGCTTCAAATGCAACTTTTCCATCGGGAAAGCTGTAAAACCGCATCTCCTCATTCTCCTCTGAACGATTGCTCTTTACACCATTTGCGTAGGATTAACCGTTTAGGCTCTAGCCTTGTCGACAGTTTCAAAGGGTGTATACGAATGCATACTTAGGCTTCGCCGTAATCATGGTGACGCTTTTTTTTTGCGGGCACCCATTGTTACTTTTGCCTCACCTAAGAAAAAGGGAAACGATTTTTAAGAGTGCACTTATGTAGACCACCTTAATTAAAAAATTTGACACTCACCCTTAAATAATTCCTTACTATGCCAAAGAATTTGTAAAATTTCCAAAATTTCTTCCGGATACGTGGGCACCGCCAAATTCAAATGTTTCAAAGTTTCCTAACCCACACATGCCTGCAGAACCACGCCCAACTTCATCCCACTCTCGCCCCCTTTCCAATGCGTGTCCACTTACTTTTAACCTCTCCAAGTTCGGAAACACTGTCTTCAATCCGTCCAAAAGTGTGGGATCGTGCACTTCGATAAGCTCCAAATGCTTCACACTTATCAAGGTTTTTCCCTGATTGCAAATATTTCGTAAAATCTCCTCCGCACATTTCGACCTTTTGTAAACCCTTCCAATCGCCACGGTTTCCAGGGCGGGTAGCATCTCTCCGATATTTCGGAGGAGATCGACACTCCGAAAAATGTCGACCATTTCGATCCTTAAGTTTTTCAGTTTTTTCATCATCTTCCCTCCCGCAAGGAGGAATCCGGTTGGAAGGAATCTTTCAAAATTGTAGATCCCCTCCATCCCATCCCGGATCATTATTTCGGAGTTTTCGACATTTCGGAAACTTAAGGTAACAAGGCTCTCGCTTACTTTGTCCAATATTCGCGCTATGTTCGGAAGAGCGACGAGGGCAGACACCATGTCGATCGGTTTAATCGAATCTTGCGCAATTGTTAGTGATTGGAGAGATTTTGAAGAATTTGAGAAATTTGGATAGTATCCCCAGGGAAGAGTGAGGTCCCTCAAATTCGGCGCAGTGTTAATCACCGCCTCGATAAATTTCGCAAGAAATGCGGTCACGAGGTTAGAACTCAGCGAGAACTTTGTCAAGTTTGGTCTTACTTTGAGCATACCTGTTAGAAAAAAATATTTTTTCATGTGGAATTCACTTAGAATGGAATCTTTTTTCAAGCTACACCGGGATCGACTAGCGAGTTATGTCAAAAAATCAAGCCAAAAATTAGGAGTCACGTCACACTCATCTTTTCATTGAATGGCCCCTTTGAAGAAAAATATTAAAGGTCAAAGTTCACACAAGCGTCTTGGTTTTCGCCCCGTGGAGGAAAACGCAAGAGAAAATTTGCTCAAAACTTGAACTTGACCGCCAATATTTTTCTTCAAAGGAAAGATGAGTGTCACGTGACTCCTAATTTTTGGCTTGATTTTTTGACATAACTCGCTAATCGATCCCGGTGTAGCTTGAAAAAAGGTTCCATTGTTAGTTCAAAAACTTGAAAAAATTCACCATTCATTTATTCAAACTTCGAAAATGAATAGTAGGTTTATTCATTTAATTTCAAATTATTGGATGGAATTCCCAATACTTGTCTTCGTTAAAATGAAAAAAAACTAACAAAATTATTCAGTACTTCTGCATGAATAGCAGCTGAATAAATACCTATGTAATTATTCAATATTCACTCGTTCAGAAATTTTGAAAAAATTCATGCATTTATGGATTCATGAATGAATAAAATGTAAGCATTCTCTATTAATTAAATTAATCTGTGCAGTTACCTTTCTGCTCCTCGATTGGCATGAGATTCTGTTTCGCAAATGTGCACGAAACCTTGAGCTGTCTTAAATTCTGGCACGACCTTCGCAACACGTGGTACACCGATGCAAAACAGGTTTCGTGCTGGATGAAAACTTCCAAAATTTGTATTATCCCGCTAAACTTGTCACACGAGTGCATCACTTTCGCGGAAAAGATGGCCGCGAATGGGGATTCTGGGAATGCGGCGCTGATTCGTTTCGCGACTCGCTCATCTAAAGTGGAACAAATTTCAAAAAACGGGACGGCATCGGATTCAATAAGTTTGTCGGGGTGACGAAGGTTGAAGATCAGCTCGGTGTTTGGAACGGAGAGGACGACGTCATTCCAAAATGGACACACGAGTCGCGCAGTTTTTAACAGGGTTGAACTTTGTTTTAAAATTTGTGTCAAAATCTGGAAATTGGAAACACATTTGCAAAAAAATTGAAGTGAATTTTTTTTTAAATAATATTTTTATACAATCGGGTTATTTAGCGCAATCTCCTGAACGTTTCGGTTGTCTACAGGGGACCCCATTTTTGTTTTCTAAAATTTCCTGTTCATTAATTAACAAGTGTTTTTTTAGTATCTCGTATTCTGTGAATTAATTCCAATTTGTATCGTTGTAAAAAAATAATATTCGTATTTTACTAACCTTATGAGTGCTTGCAAGCTGATCAAAATCCTTACATACGTATGAACTTATTTAATTTAAATTTCTGGAAAGCAATTTCTGTAAAATAAGTACTTCGTATTTTACTTGTCCTTTAAAGATCCTTCGTTGACTGCGAATGTTGAGTGAATGAATCATGTTGCGCATAAATGTGTGAGATGGTTACAGCACCGAGGGTACGTAAGGTTCAGTAAGGGAACATTCATAAATTATGTCATCAATAAACTACCCATTTTTAGACCACCCACCCACCCCCGTCGCTATCCTAAACCTGCCAAGCTTAACATATATAATATATGCAAAAACACCCTAGCCAACTTTTTGATGACGTCAAATATGGACGGTTCCTAGGGACAACCTTTTTAAAAGGGGTCAATAAACTCTTTTGGGACCGTGCGTAAAGCATGCCTTTTATTTTGAGGCTCCAGAATCAACCCACTGAAAGCCTAGGTAATTAATGGAATTACTAATACGAAAGTACATCCTACGGCACAAAATTGATTACCTCCTTAATGAACGATTCCCCTGAATCTTTTTTCCTCAACCCAATTCAAAGCAACGTCTTTGTTCATGTTGGCCCTGGACATTCATGTTTTCCCAAGTAAATAAATGTGTGATTGTGAAATGCAGGTACAGGTGATTCACTTATTCGTGTGAGGATTTGATTTATACTCATTAATAGGTATGTCAAGAAAATCCAAATCTGTTTTCAACATTGGATAGAGCAACTGAATAAATAATTAGTCCTAGAAAACCACCGGAAAAAAAGTGTCGGGAAGTTTTTTTTGTCGAGAAAAAAGCGATGCGATCTTAAAGTCGAGAATAAGGGACGTCACAGCTGTTGCACGATTACACGATTACAAGTTTGCGTCAGAAAAGACCCAGTTGTGGGCTAGAAAAATTATCAAACCATTCCACGAATAAAAGAATCATCCATCCGTAAACACACGCGTAATTTTGACACTAATAATTTAACCTGGGAACATGCATATATCACGTCGTTGCTTAAAAATTATTTTAAAAACTTTTATGTAGTGTATGCCTTATGAACACAAATATTCAAAAAAAAATTAAAATTACTTAAGTACATTACATTTTTCTATGTTTAACAAAATGGTTAAGAACAAAACTTCTGGTTAAGAATAGTCCTGATAAGAAGTTTAATGATTCCAGATTAAATTCCGTAATTAGTACATAAAACATTTCCATGTACATATTTACATTTATTATGTACATCTACAGTTCAACTGTATACAACCAACTGTAACAGTTGGTTAAGAATGCAGGACCGCATCGTACAATACAATCATTTACCCGTTGCACCTGTGTTCATTACCATCTAGATATTAGGAACATGTACTGTTATTGTGTCAGCTACACAATTAGTAAGTGACATTCATAAATTAATCTAATTATGGCTTACTTAACTTAATTGCTCCTTAGGAAGGCTGAGTCTGTATATATGTTTAAACCATTGTTGGCTTCGCACCCACGAAATGTTGACGTTTGCCTTGGTAACTCTGGTATTTTTTGGCCAGTCTTCGTACCAGGTGGGGGAAGAAGATACTTTCCTCTATGACGTATTTCCCCCAGGGTTTCAGTGGGGATTTGCCTCCTCAAGTTACCAGGTAGGTACACATTTATTTAATCTGGGGGGGGGGGGGGGGTTGGTTATTCCGAAATTCGTCAAGATCAACACCTTTTTAATCAGATCTGGGGATTTATTTTTTGAAATTCTGGGCAAGAAACTTATTTAGGATACTTAAGTTGGACAATAAAACGACGTTTCTTAAGTCAAGGTTTCAATTAGTTTTCTCAAGAATTCTTAAACTTGAGATCTTCTCGTTGAAAAACTTTACAAAATTTATGTATCATTAAAAAATTATAATACTATGGTTTTAACGATTATTAAGTTGCGTCAGCTACTTATTGCGATCACATTGTTCGTCTGTCTGTCCGTCCGTCCGTAAGCAGGATGAATGCCTCAACATAGTCAAAAGCGGTTTTCGCCATTGCGCATTGTGCTTCTAATTTTTAGTTCTCGGTCGAGTCCGATAATGGAGTCAATCGGACCACCCCCACAGCGCCAAGGGGTGTGGTCGAAAATTAAATTCACGTTAATTTTCATATGGGGTATCATTTTAAATAGGAAATTTCGCCACGAATTCAACGACATCAATATTTTTGACCTTATGATCTTGACGACGAGGTCAGAGGTCACAACACATAATTTTCATATGGGGTGTCATTTTAAAGAAAATTCCACCGCGAATTCGAAGACGTTTATATTTTGGACCTTCTGACCTTGAGGGGTCATAGGTCAAAAGATTCGTAATTGTCGTATAGGGTGTTTGAGCTAGGTCCTTGCGACTACCCGTCCCAAGCGTAACTCTGATTGAGAACTGTGGAGTTTAAGTGTCTGGTCATAAAAACAAGACCCGATGGTCAAAAAACTATACTTGAATGTGAAATAAACTGAGAAAGAGAGACTCTTTGGCTTTACTCTACTTTACACATCAATTTATTTACATAAAAGCAATTAATTAGAGAATAATTCCAACTAAATATATTAATTCTCTCTATACTGTGAATGACACGACCAGTTCTTTGGCCTTCGTCATCTTAACGGCGCATTCACACAAAAAACGTACCTTTTTTAAAAATTTGAGACGCCCGCTCGGAGTCTCACTTTTTCCATGTAAAATTACTCATTTTCCAAAATACATACATGAAACTAAATATTATATTAAATATGGAGATTTATGGGTAAATCCAACATAGGGTGTCATTTTAAAGGAAATTTGACTGCGATTTCAAGGACGTTAATATTTTTGACCGCATGACCGTTAAGACGAGGTCATATACGATAACGTTAAAGGATACTTGAATCGCTCTTACGCTATGTTACGGTAGATGTTATTTTATATGCGGAACTATGTGTGAATCGTCGTCTTTTTGTGGTGAAAGGAAAAGGAGAAGTTTATTTGAACTTATCTCTAAAGAAGACAAAATGCAACTGACTACCAACTATCACGTATTGTTATGCTAACGCTATTATTCTCCTGAGAATAATAGCATAACAATGGTAAACCCACCTTCTCATCCCAAGAAGGTGGCTTTACATTGTCCAATCCTAGTTTACATTATATATTACAATATCATATTACAATATCATATCTATTACATTATTATTAAGCAGCAGTAAAATGTGTACATTTTACTGCTACACCGGCATCGTTAAAATAAAACTCGTAATACATATTCTTTGGTAACATCTACATCTAAGTGAACATACAGAATTATTTTCAAGTTCATTCTGGGTAAGAAAAGCTGATTTAGCACAACTTGGAACTACTTGTAAGTATAAGATGGAATTTGAACTTGTACCTTGCATGCTCAGCATAATCTTTAGGATCGGATGATCCGACATGACATGGGTAAGTAGAGCTAATGTAACAATTTAGTACTCGAGCAACAGTCGAATTCAACACACATCATTTACATACAAAGTGGTGATTATTTGAAATACGGGAATTATAAAATGGTATCCGAAAGTAACGTTTATACATATTTCCATATATAACTGTGTAAAGCTGGTGTCACTGCATATTTTAGTACGTCTAATTTGTTTCTTTGTCTTAAGAATTGCGTCGTTCTGATGATGTGGTTGGTGGCGTTAGGACGGGCGTTGGGAGAAGATGCAGGCAAAGGACCGAATCCGTGGGCGGCTCTGATGGGGCCCGATGATTTTCGGGACCTCATCTGTAATCGCAATAGGTCGATGGAATGGAATCTGGTCTCCCCTTCCAACAGGCCTGTCGGACCTGTTTACGGGCAGGGAATCAATCACATCCCAACGTATTCCTTATCAGGATGGTTCCAGTGCTGCACGAGTGCGCGATGTGGAGGGATTTCCCCCAGCCCAGCAAAGGGGAATACTTTGCGGCGAATTACGTTTGTTCGGTTTCTAGCGGACTTGCCGTCGGAGATGGCAACCGAGGTCCGAAAGGATATATGTTTGTCGCCAGAGGCATACATACGTCGGAGGACCAACGACTTGTTAGGCCAGTCCTCCTTTGCGTGGTGGGGCCAGTTCTGGGAGAGGATTTCGGTGTTAGAAGTTGACGACAACCTCTAAATCCGTAGAGGTCAGGGGTCCTATATCTCAAGATAGGAACATATCGGACCTAATTCTAAATTATTAATTAAATATGCACTTCAAAACAAATAAACTTGTCAATGTGTATATATACAGAATTGTGATGTCCACATTATTCACGAAATCATATAATTACGAAACATACGGATGGGAGCATTAGCTATACTCATTATATCTATCTGTGCATACGAACTAAGTACGTAGAAGCATTTTCACATACACAGAGAGTCCAAAATCACACTTGCATACAACGAGTTGTTTATAAAAGAGTACGTAAATGCTGTATGCATTCACAATTGGCATTACTTGCCATAATTTCATACTTTTCATAATTTTATAGCTTAAGAGATGCTCTACGCATATGAAACGCATTAGTGTACTTCTATATGTAAAATAATCATAAATGGAAGATTTACAGACAGTTATAGACTCAGATATAGAAACAGAAGTAGGAATTTTCAGATCATAAAGAATGATCATGCTTTTATAATTTTTTTTCTTTTCGTGACCAAACAAATCTAGTGCCATGATGATGTATATATCAAGGTGGGGAATTCATCGGGATGGAATGAATTCCATAAAAGTCAATAATGGAACTGATTTGGTTGGTGCTGATTGGATTTAAGCCTAAATAATTTATATACGATCATATCCTATAATATCAAATTATCCAAATATCCTATAATAAAACAAATTATGCTAATGGTACCCAAATGTTACGCTAATCGAAATAACATATATAGAGTTGTTATTTAACTTTACATTTACAATATTTACATACTATTCCGGGATCCAAACATGGAGATCCAAACATGGAGGTAGACTTAATGAAAGGAGAGAAAGATTTTAGAGGTCGGATCTCTGTATGGATTTCCCGTTGGAAGCCCGAGTAACCAAGAAATGAAAATTCCCTTAATCGGGAAATGGGATACACCGAAAGAAGATATAGAATTTGATAAAGCCTGAAATTTCATTTGGGGAAGAGTCCAAATTAGGTGAATATAAGCCAATTCACGCAATCCAATTATGTTAAGACCTGTGTGATTTTGTTGTTTGTATAGTGAGGAAATACATTCCTGGAGCAAACCACGTAAAAGTTTACTGGGGATTAGTAGTCCCAAATGGACTCTCTTCTTGTTCAGGAAGGCCTCCAGAAGGGAGGACTCCGTACTGACCAGGAATTGTACATTTTTACATTTTAATGCGGGTAGTGAGAGCACGGAGGAGTTGGCAGAAATGCCTTCTGCTCCTTTCTCCACGAACTCACTGGGAAAGCATTTCCTTACCATTAGTAAAGGACTATTGGGGATAGAAGAGGCAAAATAGATGGGAGTATCAAATGGTTTGGGGTCACATTTGCCAATTCTTACGGGTCCAATTAAAAATTGGCCCGAGAATTGCGCGAGGTACTGTACGGCGTCGTGGTCAGAACAGGTGGAGGTGATCTCTGGGACGATTTCTTGCCAGGAAGAGGAAAAGTTAGGTTTTTTTAACAGGAAAGAAGGAAGGGAAGTGGGAGAAATGGATGAATGATCATTCATTTCGAAGTCTAGTCAGGAAACTAGATTCGGGGTAAAGATGATTCTGCTCAGGAACAGCGGAATGACCTTGATGGAAAGTAATCGCCGGCGCGGACCCAATATTCCGATTTGGTTGTAATTGTTGTTGGTAGGCGATAGATGGGTACGAGGGAGGGCGATATGCTTGATTTATCTTCGTCCGGGAGGCTGGGGCGTACGGCTCCGGGTCAAGCTGTTCGGGATTAATGTCCACGCATTCTATTCGTCGTTTCTTGCGGCATGCAATACAACAAGCCACAAGGAAGCCTAGAAAAAGTAGGTTAAAGATTAAAATAGCAATTAGCCAGACCGTCATGTGGTGTGTTAATTCTGCCTCAGTCAAAGCTCGAACCGGCCTAATCTGAGCATAGGCGGCTCCGGTGGCAACATGAATCGGACGGGATAATCGAGTAAATTTATAGAAAAGATAAAAGATGATACAGGCTAGAAAAACATCTCCAAATAATGAAATGCCTCCACTATAGAGAGTGGAATGAGATGCTAAATGATGTATAAAACTGTCTCGGGTGGCGAATTGGTACTCCTGGCCCACGTCCAGGACCAAATCGGACTTAAACCAGTTGGGGTTAAAGGCTTTACTGAAATTCGCATGGCCTTCGCTACTGAGGAGTGTCTCATCCAGCCGGTTAGCTCGGACAATTTGGTCCCCGGTTAGATAGCTCCAACGGGATGGAATAATGATTGAAACATGAGGGATCGTCGGCATTTTCTCGTTAGGATTATGAAAACAGGGGAACGGGGGACGAACATCGTCATGTAAATTCTTCTCAAACTTAAGAATGCAACCACAATGAAGGCGAATAAGAAAAGAGCCCTGAGTGAGAGAAGCATTGGGAAGAAAATGTTTAGTAAGTTCGCCAGATAAACTCAGGCATTCGATCCAGGTAGCGACAGAGGGAGTCGAAACTGCGAAACTGTAGGAATTGTGTTGAAAACCTAAACTCACAACAGACACACTTGACGGACTGTGATCAACACACTTAAAGGGGCAGGCGGTGTGCAATACCTCTGTAGAAACCCCGCCCTCTGAAAGTAATGCCTTGACGCAGTCCACATTATCTCGAGCCGAAGGGGAGTAGGGGAAAAATTTACAGAAATGAGCGTCTACATTACAATAAGAAGAGTCGGCAGCGTTGACGGGGTAGACATGTTGATCACCGATGACGACAAATAAATGACTTTCCAACAAATGACACATTTGTGCGGCATGGTTTGCCGGGGTGTGTCGGAAATTCAGGCTAAAGACTTCGGCTAATTGAAAATGCACTTCATGAAGACGAATCGGAATGTCTAATTTGATGGTCAGTTTACCGTTTGCCATATTGGAAATACAATGAGCAAGGGGGTACTGAAAATAAGCACTAATGTGAGAGAGAGGGATGGCAAGACCCATATTAGAAGTATTTAAAGATTTCTCAAGGGAAATTAATTCATGGGAGAGTTGAGCGGGGCTAACCGCTAATGGACTTAGTTTGGATTGTGTGCATGAAGATAGGATTTGGGCGTAATGATTAGCCTTAAGCGAGCGCATTGACGCTTCAGATAATTGGGCCATAGACAGGAGGGTTCGAATCGAGTCAGAGGAGAGGTCCTCTAGTTGGTGGGTGATCTGTAAATGCTCAGAGGTGGCCTGAGTACTAAAGTGGTCAGCTAAACGGCGTAGCCCTACGTCCGTGTCATGACGAAGAAGATTTATACCCTTCGCTAATACAATATTTTTGGATTCTGTATCGTGAATCGCTTCTCGGGTCTGAGAGTATAACCGCTCAGCGTCGAAAGTGGTAGAGCCAACTTCGGGTGGGTCAAAATAGTTGAACAATTTGTTGCCAAGATACAGGGTAGCCGCACCAATAGCAGCCGACGCAGCAAAAATTTGCCGACGGGGCCGGTGGCCATTGGGAACGACCCATCGGGTTTCGCGGCGTCCACGTCGGAAAAGATCAGTAACCTCTGCAGACGTGACGTCGGAGGGGGTTTTAGGAAGCGTCTCATTAAAATGAGAAACTTGTATGGTCTCTTCCGTAGTATTGGAAGGAGGGCGACGAGGGAGGTCATTGGTGGGGACGTGGTGTGTAACATTTTCCAGAATAATGGGTGAGTCTGTAGAAGAGGGAGTTAAAGTCGAGGCCAGGAGTGTTGAGGGTGGGATAGCCGTAGGATTGTAAACAATAGTTCGTGGGATAGCCGTAGTGGGTGCCCGCTCAGTGATAGGAGGGTCAAGATGTGGGGAAGTACGCACTGCTTTGCCTGTAAGAGCAGCGATGAGTTGTGAAGACCGAGCATTAATCGCGGCAAGGTTGGAAGTTAACATTTGGTTGAGAATGCAAGAACAACTTAGTTGATCTGGTGGAAGCGTCCGACAGTGTTGATCCAACTGAGAAGCATAATACGTATGCCAAGGAGTGAAAGAAAAATGGATTTCAAAGAAAATTTGGGTTGAGTCAGCGTAAATTAATACGGATTTCGGAGCCTGTTTTATATACACGCCACTGATAGGTAGGTAGGTAGGTATTTATTCAAGATTGATGTAGCATTAGCTTTTACAATCATCATTTTCATTTCATACAAAACATTTAGATAGATATTAGCAGTATGGGTGTAGAGGGAGAACCGGAGATGGTCTCGGAAAACCTCTACATGTATTGGGAATGTGGCCCAATACACCATTCGGCCCATAACTGCTGGACACCAGGTAGGAAAATGTATGCCAGTGATACATAGGCGGATTCCGTGGTGGTGGTGATATCCAAATGAGGGTGGCGTCTGCATGCGGAAGTAGACAGGTGAAGGTTGTTGGGCGGGGGCTGTCCACGGACCGCGGGATCTTGCCCACGTCCCCCATGGTAGCCGTAGCCGGGGCCGACGACACCCCCACTTGCCCCTTCCCCCATCACAACACAATCATGTCATGGGACCCCCGTAGACCTGACCATGCCGCCTCCCGTCATGCACGACCCCCTCCGCCACTTTTCAAACAACCACTCCCCACGGTCACCACCCCGATATACCAAACAAAAACCTACCTGGGGAGTCCCTCCAAGGCGTAGATCCTCCCGTGCACTGGGTCCGGCGAATCCATCTTCGCCTGATGGCTCAGCTTGTCGTTGCTGGGACGGGTGTGGCAGGGGGTGTCACTAGGCACGCAGGTGGGGGGTGTGAGTGGACGAGGCTCACGTGGCGAAAAGCCTTTAGGACACACTTTACTTGCCCTGGCACACCCGCGACCCAGCGGCAGGAAGAACTGGGGGTGTCGGACTTAGGATCGATTTAAGATCATCGGGTAATTCATATAGACTGTTGTCACAACTAGGGTCGTCATCAGCATCAGACTCGTGGGGCTGGGATGGTCCTCTGATGGGAAAAGGGGTTGAGGCGGGTCGGAGGCAAATGTGAGAGGTCGTTCGCCGATACGACGAAGTCGCTTTAAATGAACGACTTGCGTCTCAAAGGGGTAGGCAAGTGTGGCAATACGATAATTTTGAGGCGAGATCTTTTCAACAACTTTATAAGGGCCAGAAAATAGAGTGTTCAGTTTTGAAGAGGTTCCTGCGTCAGGTTTGATTTTCGTCAACATTACAAAGTCGTTGACTTGGAGTACCAATGGTTCATGTGACTTATTATGTAATGTGCGATGACGCTCCTGGCTCTGAAGAATGGCATATTGCGCAGAAATACGAGCGGCTTGAAGATCCTGAAGGAAAGTTGGTGGTAGCCCGCCCAGGTCTAAGCCAGTTTCAAAAGGTAAGAGCGGATGAGTTCCATAAAGAAGGAAATGACTTGAAAAACCGGTCGTGCCATGTAGAGCTGTATTGATGCTGAAGATAATGGCAGGAAGATACAGGATCCATCGAGTGTTATTATTTGCGACGTAGGCTCGGAGGGCAGTACTAATCAACCTGTGGGCCCTTTCAACCTCGGAAGCAGTTGAGCTATAACTCGTCGTGAAGACCGGAGAAATGCCAAGTTGCTTGAAGAAGGATTGGGTATACTTTGAGTGGTGCGTGGAATGATTATCAAGAATTATCTGACTAATCACACCAAAGCGACAAACGATATGGTTTAAGAGGAAAGAGACAACATTTTTACTTGTGTACTTAGCATAAGAAGCGGCCACAATATATTTAGTGAGTTGATCGGTACAGACGAAAACAAATCGATGGCGGCCTGGACTGCTAGCAACTAGGGGGCCCTGCATATCAAACATCACATAGCTAAAAGGTTGAGAAGGAGTAGGGATAAGATGGGGTCGATAAATTCCTGGGATTTTGGTATTTCGGCTCTTAGTCTTACTACAAATGACACAAGAGGCGACATACGTAGCGATATCGTGGCGCATTGAGTTCCAGAAGAGTTTGCGAGCAACTTTAGAATAGGTTCGATCACGACCTTGGTGAGCCCCACCAAGTGCATGATCGTGGTAAGCAAGAAGGACCTAAGGAACTTTTGAGGATGGCACCCAAAGTCGTAGGCGACCTTTAAAGTCGCGTAAATACAATAATCCGTCAATTAGAACCAATTTACCAGTGGGGTCCGGGGTATGATCAAGTTTTCGCATTTTGGGGCCGAGAAGAGAGTCGGTACGTTGAGCGTCTCGAAGAGTTCGTCGATGATCGGAAGGGAAAATAATATTTAACTCCGAGGTTAGCCGAGTCTGCTGGGCCTGCTTTTGGGTTTCAGTAAGTTCATCAAAGGTGAGACGGGAACACATATCAGCCAAATGGTGAGTGGCCCCACTAGAATAAATCAATTGAATCTGATGATCTAAAAGTAACGCGAGCCAACGAGCTCGTCTCAAATTTTTAGGCTGCTTTTGGCGAAGAAATGAACAGACGTATGTGCTATCGGTAATGCACTTGAAGCGCTTCATGTATAGGTATTCGCAGGACTTACCGAGGCTCCAGCAAACCGCTAAAACCTCTAACTCACAAATTGGGTAATGTCGTTCGCTCGGGAGAAGAGATCGGCTGGCGTATGAAATGACAACAGGTTTTTGGTCCGCCGGATTGATTTGAAGCAAAACTGCTCCAAGACCAGTCAGGGAAGCGTCGCAATGAAGTACACACTGCCAATTATGATGATAATTAGAAAGGATAGGGGGGGGTGACGAGGCATGTCCGCAGATCATTGAACTGGGCTTTACATTCGTCAGTAAAGTCAAAAGGGGCTCCGTTTTTCAACAGAGGGAATAGCTTATTAGCTCGCATCGCGAGAGAAGGGATAAAACGGCGCCAATAATTCAAACTTCCCAAAAAACTTCGTAATTCGGTTTTGTTAGTAGGAGGCTTCATGGTTTTAATAACCTCGACCTTGCTGGGGTCAGGTTTATAACCATTTCGCGTAATAATGTAACCTAAGCATTTTGCAGTACCTGCCGCAAAGGAACATTTTGACGGAGAGAGTGTTAAACCAGATTCGCGAAGGGTCTCTAAAGCTTGCTTAAGATGAAGTAGATGTTCGGGAAAGGAACGACTAAAGACAAATAGATCGTCGAGGTAGTTAAAGACCGATTTCCATAACATTTGATGAAAAATTTTTTGTAACAAACTAGAGAAAATTTGAACAGCTGAAACGAGTCCCTGGGGTAACCTGAGCCAGCGGAGAGTATCATCACTAGTAATTGTCCCCGTAATATGAGTATCAGAAGAAGAAACAGGGACCTGCCAATACCCGCATTTCATGTCTAGAACGCTTAGGTACTGAAAGTCAGACAAGAGTTGAAGAACATCGTCAACAGAGGGCAGGACGGTTTGGATGTCATAAATGGCCCGTTCATTGACCAATTTATAATTTACCACTAAACGGCCCGTGTCCAGGGTTCGCTACCCCGGGTTTTTGTGGGTTGGGGTTTTTGGGGTTTTTGTGGGTTTTTGGGGTATCAAATCTCCGGAAAAACCCTAATGCTTAATGGGGTTTTTGCGGGTTTTTGTGGGTTTTTGTGGGTTTTTCCCGGGTTTTTGTAAGATTTTAGGACAGATTGAAACAAAATTCCTTAAACTACAACTTAAATCAATGCTAATTAAATTGACGGATTCATCATAAAATTTTGAGAATTTTCATGTGCGACTTGAATTTCCAAGTTTTATTGCATATTTCCAAGTTTGCATGCGAAATATGAATTTTCGATTTAACAGTCCAACTCAATGATAACGCATAAAATTGCATGTCAAAATCGTATATTAAATTACTTTTTATCTAATATATAATTTAAAGAATTTTGGTTCAACCTGCCCCAAAATCTACAAAAACCCACAAAAACCCACAAAAACCCAAAAACCCACAAAAACCCAAAAACCCACAAAAACCCCAAAAACCCCGGAAAAACCCGCGGGGTTGGGTTTTTCTAGAAAAACCCCGGGGTTTTCCGAACCCTGCCCGTGTCATCGGGCTTCCTCACAAAGAAACACGGGCTAGTAGTGTTACAGGGGCTACGTTCAATGATACCTGCCCTTTCTAACCGAGAAACTTCAAGGTTCAATTGTTCTCGTTCGGCTAACGACATTTTATATGGACGCACGTGCACTGGGGCGAAGGTGGGTTTGAGATAGAGTTGTACTCCGTCGTGGCCCTTCTCGAATGGACCTTTATATTTACCGAGGTCGGAGTAATTGCTCCCGTCAAAACAAAAACAATCACGATAATGTCGTATAAGTTCACGGATTTGTGATTTTTGGTCCTCGGTGAGGTCGTCGGCAAGTTTCAAAGAAGTCAATTGTGCGTCGGACATGAGAACAGAAAGGGTTGGAGTAAGCGAGGGACTTTTATCCGAGGTGATTTCATGAATAGCATTGGGGGACTCCGAGGACTTAACGGAAAAAGTTTCGCTAATAGGACATAAATAACCTACAATTTCATCCTGATAAAGGGTCTGGGGGTTCCCAAGGCCAGACAAAATTAGAAATTCTAGGTCAGTGGGGGAGACAAGCAGTCCAGGGCCCATGAGTTCATGTTTGAGTAAAAAGGTGGGAGAGAATTCGAACAGGTGAGGAGCCACTGGATTAAAACACTTGTGCAGATGGACAGTAATTGGGACTTTTTCGTAACCTTTGGGACCAAGTGTGAACGTGTGCTTTATAGATACGGGTATGGGCTCCGGGGAGCAGTCTAAAGGTACGTCAGTCGATCCGAGATGATTCACTTCACTAAACTCCGGAGATGGCTTAGGTAATACTTGTGCAGGTGAAATAGTTTGGGCAAGAGCATCCTCCTCAGACAAGAACATTTTAAACACTTCCCCACGGATTTGGATTTCCTGGGTGAAATAATTAATGTGAGTGCCGTGTTCGAGGAGGAAATCATTGCCAAAAATTAAATCTCGCTTTAAGGATGGAATGATATAAACCTGATGCTTATATCGTTTACCATTAAGGATGCAAAAGAAGCGAATAGATTTAGAAACAGTGATTTGTCCGGTGACACCTGCGACAGTCATGGGTTCAATATCGAAATGCGGAAAGTCACGAGCAAACTTGGGACTACACCCAGATAAGCTAGCTCCGCTGTCCAGCATGAGAAGTTGTGGGAAACTAGGGCCTGGATGACCCGTAAACTGATCTTTTTCAATAGGAAGACGCACATACACAAGGGTAGGGGTTGAGTTAAGCAAGTTGTAAAAGCCGAGGCTATTGAGGTAACCTTCGCTTACGGCCGCCTCGTCGACTGCAAGCTCATTTAGTTTTCCGTGCGCGCAACCAAGTAGCGAGCGCGGTTCAGGCGTTGCCGGAATGTAGGACAGTCACGAGCAAAATGTCCAAACTCGAGACATTCGAAGCACGGACCTTGGCCATCTTCTCTACGAAAACCCCGAGCCTGGGTAAAAAGAGACCGCAAAGAGGGTTCATTATTTCGGGAAGGAGAATCTCGTCTCCCCTCAGGGTTACGCTCACCGCGAGGAGAGGATTCACGGTTCTGATAAGGACCAGGGGACCGCGCCCTATTAGGCGGAGCATCCTGTGGAGTATTTCTTTGCGGACCGAAATTATTACTTCGGCCGCGTCCGCGTCCTCGTGTATTATAACCCATATTTCCACGCTCCGTGAAAATGATATTGATAGGGGCGTTTCTGATAGGACGTTTCCTTTGTCCTCTATTATTGGGTTTGGGGGCGGACTGCACACATGGGAGCTCCGGAGGCTCCATTTCCACCTGGTGAAAGTGTGCGCTCTTCTTAGCGAGAGAGCTCTCGTCTCCGCGAGATCGCAATTCCAGGCGTCGCATCGCCCTGGAAATATTATCTTCATCATCCTGACCTCCACTAGTGGGGTACATGGAGTGAAACTTCTCCGACTGAAGGAGAAGTTGTTCAACGGTTTCGAAATTGGTGGGGTTGCTCATGGTTATGATCTCAGCCAGATGGGCGGGACATCCTTTGATAAGGTATCTCACCAATTTATCATCAGACATTTTCGGATCAAGTTTACGTAAAAGGGGTAAAAGCTCATATAAGTATTTTTGTGTGTTGCCCTTAAACTTTACAAGCCTGATTTGGCGATGCAGGCTCTCGGGAGTGTCTTTACTCGAGAAGACTGTACGGAATTGCTTTTCCGTTTCTGCCCACGTGAGGGGGATCTTTTTCTCAGCCTGGCCATCGGCATAAATTCGAAGCCAGGCAGCGGGATAATTGGTCAAATGGTGACCAAAATTACGAAGTTTCGTGTCATCATCCCAACCATACGAACTTGCTAAGAGGGAATACCGATGTAAAAAATCCGAGGGATTGTCAGTACCGTCAAAAATAGCACCGCTACTAGCAAAGGGAGGAACGTAAACGGTCGAGTAAGTTAGCGTGGTACTTGAAGTACCACTTGTAGTAGTAGTGGTACTCGAAGTAGTTCCTGTGGTGGTGATGGTGGACGTCATTGTTTCGGGTTCGTAAAATAGGTCAAACTCGAAATCCGTTGGGTAGTGGACCGCTCGCTTAGGTCTGTGTTTAAAAATGCGGGGATATGTTGGTTTGGGAGTGGGAGGTGGAGGTGGAGGCTTGACCGTTTCTACTGAATTATCTGATTGGGTGGGGATTAAGTCAGGGACTACACGGGAGGGAGGACTAACCAGGTCTCCAGACGGCGGTTTACGCGGCGGGGAAAGGGTCGGGAGGGGTGAAGGAGTCGAGGGGCGAGGGAGGATGGGGACCCTCGGTTGGGTTTTCCACCAAGTTGGGTAGTCAATACTGGCACGGGGTGCCACAAGTTGAGGACCAGCAAGGGCGTCTGCAGAGGCGAATCGTTTATACACCTCGCGGCCAACGGGGGCGGAAAATAGGATAGTGGATGGGACACCTTCAGGTAATTCAGGTAGTGGGTTGAGAGGGCCGGGAAAGCCAAGGATAGGTCCCTGTAAGTTTAGGGTGCGAATAGGAATAGAATCCGGTTCAGGACGAATAGCCCGTTTAGGAGATTTAAGCGAGAAAGGATGGGATTTGGACGTGGATGGAAGGTCTTGTTCCCTGGCAAGCAGGTGTCGATCACGCTTCGTAGTAGCTCTTCGAAATTTCTGAGACAAACGACGAGAGGACGAAACACGAGGAGTTTTAGGCGCGCTGGGGGTAGCGACAATAGTGGATTGTTCAGCAATCGGGACAGCACTAGAGGTAATAGCAGGCGAAGAAGGAATTATTCCTGCCCAACGGCCAAGAGCATGCAGGGAGCGGCGAAACGCCGTGGAACGAGGAGGTAAAGTTCGCTCTAATACTGTAGGATCACGGATAAATGGATGGAGGTCATTAGGATGGATTTTGGATCTGGTAGACTCAGCGGGGGCACGATAGGTGTAGGGAAGTTTCTCCGGACTACTCTCAACTTCGGAGTCGGAGGGAGGGGGTGAATGAGAGAGAGGTCGTAAGTCGTCGTCCACTTGTTCAATACGCTTAAATTTTCGGGCCCTTTTAGGCATGAAGAACTTTCTACGGTGGTATAGGGGGGGCAGTTATTGTGACCGGGTGACTATAATAAGAAAGAGGACCACTAGCCACATGCAAAAAATTATGAAATAGCCACAGACTTCTGGAGTAAATAATGAACGGTTTCGGTAATTTGTTACATACGGACGATCGTCTGTCTGTCTGGTCATTAGTTGGCGCATGAAACGATGTGAATGAGCTCGATGAGGTGGGAAAGTCGCTGGCTGCACACGACGACGTGGTCTGGGCGGTACAATGTTATCTCTGCAGCGGGGAACAGCCATAGGGCAGCGATGCAGAAATAGCTGAGTAAACTTAGTAAACTGTGCAAAATAAGTCAGCCTCGTATGGCGTGACAGAGCAAAAGAGGGTGGTTTACTATTATGGCAGGATGAATACGGCACGGTGGGCTGCACTACACACTATAAAGTACAGCGCATACACTCAAGTAAAAATTTTCCCACGCGCTGAGTACATGAGCCCCGTACAGGTGTGGTAATGGGAATAAAATCGACAATTAAAGCAACACACAAAAACAAAACTGATTTACTGGGGAATGAGGCAATGACGAATTACACTCTCACGCCTATTTAACGTCATAACGTGGTGATTTTCCACTCGTGTAACCTTGGTCGAGTCGGGAAGTGAGTTTGAAGGACGTGAGATAAAAAATCGAGACAGGCGTCCTTAGCAACGGCTGAGCGACGCGTCCCGAGCAACGGGGACCCCACAATTCCTCCACCAGTTAAAACTAAACCCGGGCAACAACGGAGGAGAGGGAAGGATGACAAGATGCAAAATAAACAAACGCCACAAGGCGCGCAAGCCACGCCAAACGCAGCCGCCCCTGTCAAGGACAGGCGGGGAAGGAAAGGAAAAGATGAGTCGTTTATTTGTCAAGAGAAAGAAGAGAGAAAAGAGAGAAGAGAAAAACAAAAACGGCCGAACTGACTTTACGCGCGGGCGAAGCCACCAAGGGGGGGCAGTCTAGAGCGTCCTCACGAACAAAAAGATGGATTAGCGTCGTCATCTGTCGTAGAGTTCACTTTGGGGGGAACTGTGGAAATAACAGGTTTGAACCTGGATTAAGAATTTATGCAATGGTTTGTGGGTTGATTGAGTTGACCTCAACCCCTTCAAGTTTTATGACCAATGAAGTTGCGAAGTATTGTATTTATTTGACTTGCTAACCTTAATTTACCTTAATTTATTTAAATTAATTTGTAAGTTTTTTCTAAAATTTTTATATGATTTAAGTCAAATCAAGGTGTAGAATTTTAATGGCTCAATGGGTTACATTTATTTAAATAATGGTTTTATATTTGTTAACTATAGATAAATTGGATTTAAGAGTAATTTTATGTTAATAAAATTGAATTTAGCTCTAAAATATGTACATATCGCCCGTCGCTCTAGTTATAAAATTAGATAAGTCGTAACAAAGTAGATTTTCCGGAAGGAGGATCTTGATTAATGTAATATAGCTTAAGTAAAGCATTTCATTTACACTGAGCTTATTTAGAATTGACTCTAATATTATGATTTTTAAAATTATAACTTTTTAATTTAATTAATTTTTTAGTATAATAAAGAAAATTTAATTTTATATAGTCCGTAGGGGGAAGTTGAAATAACATTAAATATAAAAAATTTTAAAAGTACTCAAAAGGTACCTTTTGTATTAGTGTGAGTTTAATTAATTTTTTATAAAATTTTCTCGAAAAATAAAGAGTAATAAATTATTTTGTATTTGTTGTTGAATTAAGATTAAAAATTATTTATAGAATTGAGATTTTATTCGATTTATTTTATATCTAGTTAAATTAAAAAGGTTTATCCTTGCTATTATAGTATTGATTGAGTTTTAAAAATATATTTTAATTAATTGATTGTTAAATTTAAGGGGGCTATCTCTTAATTTAGTTATCTATATCTTTATATATTATTTAGTTAAATTTTCGCTTAAGAACAGCTTTAATATAATAAGTTTAATTTAATAACTAATTTAATGGGATTTTTAAAAAAAGTTTAGTTATATTTTATTTGTCGGTTTAAATTAATAAAATTTATTAATAATTATTCAATTAGTAGAATTTTTTAAAATAAATTAAAAATATAATAAATAAAAATAAATTAATTCGACAAATTAAGTCACGATTGTTTAACAAAAACATTTCTTTTTTATAAAATAAAAAGTATAACCTGCCCACTGAAAATTTAAGGGCCGCGGTATTATGACCGTGCAAAGGTAGCATAATCACTAGCCTTTTAATTAGAGGATTGTATGAATGGTTGAACGTGGCTTTGTTTTATTTATTTAAATATATTGAAATCAAATTTTAAGTGAAAATGCTTAAATGACTAATTAGACGATAAGACCCTATAGAGCTTTATATATGTATGCTGTTAAGTATTAAAATTTTTATTAGTTAATAACCAGGTTGTATATTTTATTGGGGCAATAAAAGAATAAAATTAACTTCTTATTAATAAATTTTATTTAATTAATTAACTTTTAGTATAAAATTTAATAGAAGTTACCTTAGGGATAACAGCGTTATTAAAGTTGAGAGTTCTTATCGACACTTTAGATTGCGACCTCGATGTTGAATTAAAAATTCTTTGAGGGGCAGCATTTTTATTAGATGGTCTGTTCGACCATTAAATTTTTACATGATTTGAGTTCAAACCGGTGTGAGCCAGGTTGGTTTCTATCTTTTAGTTTAATTTTAGTGTTTTAGTACGAAAGGATTAAGCATTAAATTATTTATTTACTAAGTTGGCAGATTAGTGCAATTGATTTAGAATCTTTATATAAAATTAAATTTTACTTAGTAGTGTTTTTAAATTTATTTATAATAATTTTTTCTTATTTATTTTTAGTGGTTGGGGTTTTGGTTAGAGTAGCATTTATAGTGTTATTTGAGCGTAAAATTTTAGGTTACATTCAGATTCGTAAGGGTCCTAATAAGGTTGGCTTCACTGGAATTTTACAATCTTTTGGGGATGCAATTAAATTATTTATTAAAGAGCAAACTATTCCTCTTCTTTCTAATTTAATTCCTTTTTATTTTGCCCCAGTTTTTTCTCTATTTATAGTTATTTTGCTTTGAAGAGTTGTTCCACTTAGTTCTTCTTTTATTAATTTTTATTTAGGGGGTTTATTTTTTTTTTGTTGTACTAGATTTGGTGTTTACACTTTAATGGCCAGAGGGTGGTCATCTAATAGAAATTATGCTTTACTTGGCGCAACCCGTGGAGTGGCGCAAACAATTTCATATGAAGTCAGAATAGCTTTAATTTTTTTGTCTTTTATTTTTGTGACTGGTTCTTTTAATTTGAATGAATTTCATTTATACCAAAGTTTAGTTTGATTTATCTTAGTGTCATTTCCTATTTTTTTATGTTGGCTAGGTTCTATTCTTGCGGAAACTAATCGCACTCCTTTTGATTTCGCTGAGGGAGAGTCTGAGTTAGTATCCGGCTTTAATATTGAGTACGGGAGTGGTGGGTTTGCTCTTTTATTTTTAGCTGAATATGGTAGAATCATTTTTATAAGTTATTTAGTTAGTTGTATATTTTTTGGAGGTGGTGTGAGAGGTTTATTTTTAGGATTCATTGGCTCTTTTTTTTGTTATTGATTTATTTGAGTTCGGGGCACTTTACCCCGGTTTCGGTATGACAAATTAATATACTTAGCCTGAAAATCCTTTCTTCCTGTCTCTCTTAATTTAATAATTTTTTTTATTATTATAAAGTTGCTAATTTAGAAAAATAAAGTTAAGGTTTGCTAAAGCTAGGAGTTGATGCAGGTGTCCTAACATAATAGAGAACAATAAAAATTAATGATTTTGGTATTTTTTGTTTTCTTTAAGATTTCATGGGTGTAATTCTTAACTTAAATTATTAGGAGGCTTAAACTCCTGTAAATTATTTTCAAGATAATTGCTTTATTTAAGCTAAATAATTATTTACATTATTTAAGAATTTTTTCTCAGGTTAAAGTGACTAAAGGTCTTGTCAAAAAATATAAAAAATATATTAAAGTTAAGATTTGCCCTACAAGAATATAGGGGTCTTCGGCCGGTCGGGCTCCAATTCAAGTTAATAAGATTACAATATTAATCATTAATCAAAAATTTATTTGATTAAAAGGATTAAATTGAGTTCTTTTTAATTTATTTTTTTGAGTAATAGGTAAAATTAATAAAATGGCAATAGACACTACTAGAGCAGCAGCCCCTCCTAATTTATTAGGGATCGACCGAAGGATAGCGTAAGCGAACAAAAAATATCATTCAGGTTGGATATGAATGGGGGTAACTAAAGGATTTGCAGGGATAAAATTTTCTGTGTCTCCTAGAAGATAGGGGTGTATTAAAGCTAGCGATACTAATCCTCATATAAGCATAATAAATCCAAATAAGTCTTTAAATGAATAATATGGGTGAAAGGGGATCTTATCTGAGTTGGAATTAACTCCTAGGGGGTTATTTGATCCTGTTTGATGTAAAAATAGAAGGTGCACTAATGTTATTCCGGCGATAATGAATGGTAGAACAAAGTGGAATGCAAAAAATCGCGTGAGTGTAGCGTTATCTACCGCGAATCCCCCCCAAGTTCACTGTACTAATATTAAACCTATATAAGGGATTGCTGACAATAAATTTGTAATTACTGTGGCGGCTCAAAATGACATTTGTCCTCAAATTAATACATACCCTATGAAAGCAGTTGCTATTACTAAAAATAAGATTAAGACTCCTATCGTTCAAGTCATTGTATAAGTATACGATGAATAGTAGATCCCTCGTCCTACATGGAGGTACAGGGCAATGAAGAATATAGAGGCTCCATTGGCGTGTGTGACTCGTAGAAGCCATCCGTAGTTTACGTCTCGGGTAATATGAGCTACTGTATTGAATGAGATGGTTACATCTGCTGTGTAATGTATTGCTAAGAATAAGCCTGTGATAATTTGGGTTACTAGGCATAATCCTAGAAGAGACCCAAAATTTCACCAGGCTGAAATATTAACTGGGGCAGGAAGATCTACTAAAGCATTATTTGCAATTTTAAAAAGAGGGTGTATTTTCCGTTCTGCTATCATTATTTTAAAAAGTGTGAGAGGGTTTTGAGAGGGGCCTCAAATTTATTAGAAATTTTTACTACAATCACTAGGGTTAAAAATAAATAAAGTATAGAAGTGGTTAAAAGAATGCAGTTGTTTCATCTATAAAGGAAATTAAATGTTTTTGTTATAAGAAATCTTGTTCTTGACTCTTTAAATTCTTGGAAGTCTACATTTATAATTATAAAGAATACCAAAATTATGGGGATAAAAATACTATTAGGGAGGGTGACTATTTTTAATTTAATTAATTCATTTGACGCTAGGCTAGTGATATAAATAAACAAAACTATTAACCCCCCCAAAAAAATTAGGAATAAAATATAGGAAAATCATCTAGTTTTTATAAAAAATCATACAGTGATGCATAAAATTATAGTCTGAGAAATAATTAAAACTATTATTATTACTGGGTGTCTTCTTAGATAAAATATAGCTCTAATTCTTGCGGAAGTTTTATATATAGGAAAAATATTTTTATACAAAATTTAATTTATGAAAAATATTAGCTTTGGAAGTTGGAAAAAAGTGGATAACTTAATTTTGAAGTTTTTATGCTTTAAGCACACTTAAGTTTACAAAACTAATATTATAAAATTAACTATAAAAACTTATATTTTTATCTTTTATTAGAGGTTTAATTATTCTTTCTGGGATTTGGATTGTGTGCTCTAAGCGGGATCATCTTTTGTCTGTTCTTTTAAGACTTGAATATATTAGATTAGGGGTTTTTCTTTTATTGTTAGCATTATTGAGAAAAGGATACTTTTTCTATTCTTTAGTTTATATTACTTTTACAGGATGTGAGGGTGCTTTAGGTCTTTCTATTTTAGTGACGATAAGACGGACGCATGGAGGTGATTATTTTAAGTCTTTTAATTTTTTTAAAAATTTATGATAGTAAATTTATTTTTTATCTTTTTATTTATAGGGTTTTTAAAGAAGTTTAAATTAAATTAAATTTATGTGTTAACATTTATTTCTGTTTATCTAGTAATTTATACATTAGTGGGTCAGCCAGAAACGTTTTACTTAGACTCTTTATTTTATTATGACGGGATTAGATTTATTTTAGTGTCTCTAAGAGTTTGGGTTAGAATTTTAATAATTTTTTCTAGATATAAAATTTTTCGTTTCAAGGAGTATACTTTTTATTTTTATAGTTTTGTTTTTTTATTACTTTTTATTTTACTATTGACTTTTTTTTCGGGTAACTTATTATTTTTTTATTTTTTTTTGAGGTTTCTCTAATCCCGACACTTTTAATTATTATGGGTTGAGGCTACCAACCTGAGCGTGTTCAAGCAGGAATGTATTTTTTATTTTATACGCTCACAGCGTCGCTACCTTTACTTTTATTAATTATGTACTTATATATAATTGGAGGTGGCGTTTCTTTATTTTATAAGGAGTTACTTTTTTATTCATTTTCAGGTTTTAATTTCTTTGTTATTACTGCTTTTATGGGTTCGATAGCCTTTTTAGTTAAACTCCCTATGTATTTTACACATTTGTGACTCCCTAAAGCTCATGTTGAGGCCCCCGTGGCAGGCTCGATAATTTTAGCTGGGGTTTTATTAAAGTTAGGGGGCTACGGTCTTATACGAGTTCTTAGTATCACAGGGGTT